ATTGATTAAATCTTTGCAGGTAAGTCTAACCTGGCTAGGCTAAACTGGTTTGTAACCGTGCAGACATCCCCTCTGGACTGAAAAAATGCAGGCACTTGCCTGCAGTGGCTCATGCTAGAAGCCAGGGGGTGCTAAAACAGCCCTCCCTTCCCCGCTATAGAGCTGAGCTGATGGGGGCATAGCTAGGCCCTGGCAGGAAGCTATGACTGGGGAGGGGTAACCCCTCCCCCCCCCTTGATAACAGAGTGTTTATCAGCTCTGTTATCAGCATTTTAGCACTGCATCAGAAAACAAAGCCTTGCTCATTAGTTCAAGCTCTTCTTAAACAGTTTTTTCCAAGGAAGGAATGGAGGGACATTACCAGCTGATCTGCTGATTAGCTCCAAAAAGCCCTAAGCAGACACTGTCTTGTCTGCCTTAAACAGACACCTCTCAGCATTAGCTAGCATACCATGTGCTGGCTATGGTCTGTGCTATGGGAGAGGAGGAAGGGATCTCTGCTTAAGCAGCAAGTGATTGAGGTGCGGCAGTGGCACAGGGAAGCCAGGCAGACCCTGTTGTGCCTGCAAGTCTCTGCTGGAGCTCCAGCCAGGGAGCAGAGGGGAGGGGCCCACCCAGCCCAGAGAGCATGCTGGGTTGCTGGGGGACTCTGATTTAACTTAAACCAGGAAGGGGTCTGGGACAGACATTGCATAAACCGGTTTGACCCAAATCAGTTAAGTTTGATACTACATTCAACCAGGTTCATCTCAAACTGGTTTCAGCCATTTTCAGACTGCTTTATGTGCACTGAATGTCTGTTGTGTTACAGGTTTAAACTAGTTCTGATCACTTAAACCAGTTTATGCGTAAAGTCTGTCTCTAGCCCTAGATACCAGTTCCCTCTAGTATTCAAGTATATTTGATTTCTTGGCCTTTTTTTCTGGTGGTTTCTTTAGGACCTTCCAAAAATATAGCCACCTTTCTGGTGGCTTTTTCTTAGAATAACTGTACTTCCTTCCTTTGTCATAAAAGTCAACAACACAGGTGTGACCAATAGCAGAGGAAAGGAAGAAAAAAAAAACCTATTCACCATTGTCTGGTTCAGGAAAGAGGCACATCAGTCAACTTCTACCAAGTTCCTCTCTTATGCTTCAATGAATGGCCATTGATATAGGAAACAATGAGGTTATAGGGTTTCTGGTGAAATTCACCTCAGATTCCCAAGCATGTAAGAAAAGGCTGGGCTTCTTATAAACAACAGTAAGGTAAAACCTGAAACTTCTTCAGAAAGCACCCAACATCACTGAAAGGAGAGTGTCATTATAATAAAAACATCATCATTATAATGGAACAGACCAAGGAGAACATGAAGCCTAACTCATTCTTAAGGCAGTTGTTCTCAACTTCGTTACACTCAAGGTGCCTCTTGGAAAAGGCCAGCTCTTAACTTCCACCTGTTTGTTGACTACAGAAAAATAAAGCACTTCTGGAAGAAGTCAGAATGTTTCTGATGTTATCAATACCTATTTGAAAGCTCTGGGTTTACTTTGTGAATTAGGTAGATGTCCATGCATCCAAATATTACATAGCACCCCTCTGCAACCTTAAAAGGATCTCACGACATCCCAGGGTGCTGCAATACCCTGGCTGAGAACCACTTCTTGAAGGACACCAACTGGCTCCCCATGTTACCTGTTAAATTGATACAACTTTATTTCTTCATCAAGAGAAAAAGAAGCAGCCGAAACCTGGAGCACAAAATAATAAAATAGAGCCATGCAGGAATGGAATTTAAACTGGTGAGTAGTTGCCTTGTAAACAGCAGACAAGCCACATTATTCTCTTGGTTACTATTAACAGTTTTCTATCCTTCAGGAAGAGTATGTCATGAAAAGGTGAAAAATAAATGTCCAAAGGCTCCAGTAGATTCCTGTACAACTCAGTGGGAACTTTCCTGAATAAGAACTGAGAAAAGTCTTATGCACTTAACCCTCATTGACTACAAGGGGAGGGCTGTAACAAGGTTTTACATTCTGCTGTTAAAAAGACTCATAATGACAATCAAAATGTCTTAAGCTTTGTGTAACGATTAGTTGCCCATTATCTGTATTTCTCCTGAAGAAGTCAGGAAATACAACATTTTTATAAAATTAAGAATTTTCATGTAAATCATGGGTTTATCAGCTACCCCCAATTCACAAAGTCAACCAAAAAAACCTGTGTTCAGAAAGAGAAGAGTAAAGGCAAAAATAAAGTCTGCGCCTGCCTGAACAACTATGAAAACTGTGGTGATCTAGGCAACACTCGGTGGTAGCAAGGGAATTTGCTGGCACACTAGCATTATCCATATATCAATTTTCCTTTATTTCATGAGGCTATAAAACCAGACAGCAGCAAGAGCTCACTGTCATATGCTAGTTGTTTGCAGTGTTCAGCTGGAAGCTGAAGGAATATGGAATGGAGGCCTCTACTGAAGAGACTCAGAGACATAAGCAAGGGTCTTTGCAAAGTCAAACAAAAACTAGTGTTTTTGGAAAAAGTCTGGTCAGCTTTCAGTTTCTAGACCAGTTCTTACAGAACACTAACTACAGACTGAGAGTTTGTACAGTATCAGAATGGTACACTAGTCATTCATATTCTGCATCTTTAATGCATGAACTTTTTCAAGCCAGGTAATTTCTCTTGTCCATGCTCATTCACTACATACATTAGCAAAATGTCCAAATCTCAACACATGCATTCCTAATGGAAACCTAGGAAAATGTAAGTGCATTGTAAGGTGAGAGATATCATGAATTTACCACAATCTTATAACAGAAACCACAGCTATTAAACAGAATCAATTTACAGTAAATTAACAACATATGATTTTCTTTGCTAAACAAATATCAGTCAAAAAAAGGCCTGGAAAGGACTTAATGTAACTTCCTGTTTGGGTTGGGGGAGGGGGGACCCCAACCCAAACAAAAGCAGATTTACTATGTTTTTCTGGGATACAGGCATCAAATCTCCACTGTCTCCTCATGTAGCACTGTAACAGAGACAACCCTTCAGGATTCATTTGGATTCCTCTAGAGTCAACAAAATGGGCAACTTACCCCAAATGAAAAAGAAACCAAAAGCACAACCGGAGCTTGTTCTGGTGCATTACTGTCAAACTTGCTAAGTATGGAGACCTGACAAGCTACCTATTGCATACTGCTGACAGAAGGCAAGCTAAAAATAATGTGAATCGCCGTGACTGGAACGTGACATCTCCAGGACCATGTAGGTTATTATATATGTGCTGCCATTTCTCGGGTATGGAAGCTAATTTTTAATTCCAACACTCCATTTATTCTGCTTTTTCTATACACGTGCTGAATATTTATTTAACTCTATGGTCCTGCAATAACATCTGAAGTGTTATTGCAGGACACTTAAGATCTTTCTATGCCCTACTATTTATGTCAATGTATGCCAAATTATAAAATACGAGATAATCACTTGGAGGGACACTGAACAAAACCTCTCTCATGGTTTGCAGTTCTTGGGACCAGCTCCTGAGCTGGTGTAAATTGATATAAATTAATGGAGCAATGATTTACACTAGGTGAAAATCTGACCCACTGTTCTACTTCACTTACTGCTATTTATTTCCTATCAGTATGCAACAAGCTAGGATGCCATATTGTATTTTTTCATAAGCAGCTTCGTTTCGCCTCTGTTCAGAAATTTTTATAGTGCAGGATGAGTAAAACAAGTACTGTAACTATTTGATGATTCAGTGATGCCAGCATTCAAGAATATAACTTCCTAAAGGCTCCAAAGAAAAAATGGGAAGTATCCAAAAAGCACCACCCTGCCTCCCCCGCCACAAACCACAACTGTTCACTCGGCAAAGCCTAGGTCTCTGTTAACTTAAAAAAACAAAACAAAACAAAAAAACCCCAAAACAACCAAGCCTACACTTCCCTTGCTAGATTCTGTAAATATCCCTTCACTTCCTTTTTTTTTTTAAATGACAAATGCATTGATGTTACTACAGACAGTTCAATAATCCCTCAGTTATTCAATTTGATACAATGTTCTGAGCCATTACATACAATAATTCACAAATGTACTCAAGACTGGACACCTTCCTGAAATATATGCTGTAGTTAGGCAAGGTACTGGGTGGGCTAAGTGCAGTTGATGCAAGTCTATGGCTTGTGTTAGGCAGAAGCTCAAACTAGGTGATCTAATAGATTCATAGATTTAATCTACAAATTAGCCCTAAGGAACACAAATTCCCTAAGGTGCTCCAGAGTGGAGCGCTTTCATTTAATCTAGAAGGGACAATGAATCTCTGAGTTTTCGTATGCCCTTGCTCTCTGATAATGCATAAATTTAAATGGATCAAGGGGGTGGGAGGAAGGAACCTTTATAACACTCTTATGAGGAAAGAGAAATAGCTCTCTAGACTGGTTATCAAAAATTAAAATAAAGCATTTCAGGATGAATCAAAGTCTCCCCCATTTTGGTCTGCTTTGGAGCAGAGTTGTGTGAATGTTGAGAGCAAGTACTTATGAGTGTTCATATTAATAAAAATGAACTTGCTCTGATGACGTTAATGTTCCTTTCAATTCCTTTTTTGTTAATAGCCTTTGCAAGAATTTTCACTTGCAACATTCCTTAAAAAGTAAAAGTCTTACATAGTACATCCTTCTCCACTGTGCTGGTAGGCTAATGCTACCTCTCAATTACCTGAATAAACTACTACTTACTTTGACAGTATTGTGTATTGCTTTGCATGGATGCGAATGTTGGCACAAGGTACAGAAGAGTGGAAAATATCAGGCTAACTGCTCTCCAGGAAACGTTTGTCCAGCTATCCTGCTGGGGCAAGACCCACTGCTTCCATACTCTTATTTATTTAAATTAAAGTCATATTGAAACATATTGAATTTCAAGCATATTTTTGCACACATTTTTGGTCAAGAGGGAAAAAAGGCAGTTTGATGGTCAGAGCAAGCAACAAGAGACTTGCAAATACTTACTTGATTTTTCTTCCTTGATGTTGTACTCTAGCATATCAGGAGCTTCATTCTGGGATGGGTAGCAGAATGACAGGACCATATTGTTCATGTTACCATCTTTCCTAACTAAAAATATCTGCAGAAGAGGAGAATAAATGGGAGCTGTATTACATTATATGAGCTTATGAACTTAATTTTAGAAGATTAGCAAGGAAGTGTTTCAGTAGCTATTTCAATTAATCTCGAGAATGTTTTTTTCAATTGATCTCTATGTTTCATTTCATTCTCCACTGACAAACTGAAGTGGCTATAACTACTTAGTAGTAGTATATTCTTTGGGTGCAGTTCATTTTGCCAGGAAAGTACTTATGCTCCCCTTAAAATCACACCTAAACCCAAGGCAGTCTGTATTACTAACATACATTTAAAGCTATGCTTTTCCTGAGTTGTAAAGTGACATCAAGATTCTGGCATAAATGAATGTAGAATATGGGTTGTATACATCTTTACGGATATAGGGATAAAAAAGGCCAAGAGTTGATCTTATAAATAATAATTCTGCTTTCAGGGCCAGAGAGGCTGAGAACACATGTATGTAATAGAACAAAACACATGCAGGTGTAATCAAGAAAAAGGCAGCCTTTTAGGTGTGAGTCACATTTTTTCTTTGTATTGTGAGCACCCGATGAATTCCTAAGAACCTTTCTAATTAGAGTTCAGCAGCAGGAATATTTTTAGCTTAAACCATGAAAACCCAGGTACAAAGAGAGAAACCCTTACTGCCACTTCCTCCTTAAAGAAGCTTTACGTGGGAGAGAGAAAGAATTTATAAAAGCTATTTCAAAATGCAAATAATTCTAAAGTCATAGTATTAATGGTAGAGAGAAGCACAAGTCTCCAACATAATTAAATTATTACAGAAAAGGAGAAATATCCCAAGAAAGCATTAATTTTTCAGTAAGAGAAATTAAGAGGAGCTCGTCTAGAAGCCAAGTGGCAATAGAGTGCACTGCCATATGGGGGGAATGAACATGGGGTCTGATCTGGGAGGGTTACTGATGCAGAGCACTCAGATGGTGGGGCTCAGAGCACCTCACAGGGCTTTCAAACAGGAAAAACATGAGGCAGCTTTGCTAAGATGTGCAAGGTGTGTCCACTTGGTTTCTGGTACAACTGAATACAGAACAGGAGCCTCATCTTGCCACCTGCCCACCAATGTAAAATTCAACCCTGCAGCACTTTGCCTTCAATGCAGGATTAAGATCACTGAATGTGCAGCCCAACCCCAAACCCTGACACAGACAGTATAAGTGCCTACCTGAACAGGAGGCTAAGGATGGAGATAGCTGGTGGGGAAAGGGAATCCCAAGTCCTCCAATCATCTTTTGCCCTTTCAAAACCCCTGGGCCAGGTCACTGCCAGTCAGCCCATCACATCATGAAACCAGATGCCTTTATGTCCTCTATTTTTCTCTTGTCGGGTTTCTAACAATAGAGGACAGAGTAGCAGAAAACTGGAGTCCTCTGTGGTGGCCACCCTACCCCCTGGCCCAGTTTCTCTCTCTCAGCTAGGCCTGTTGGACCTTCCAGGCTTTGGCCCCTCTCCCCAGTCTTTAGCCCTAGATGCCCACTGGGTCCTGGACCCTGGCAGGTCTCTCTGGGGCTTAGCACCTCATACTACAAAGTGTCTCTGAGGCACTCCCTTGTGACTCCTATTTCTAATGGCATCATTTCCTTGACCTCAGCCCCACCTTTGCCTGGACATCAGCCCCTCAGGCACAGACCTCAAGACTTCCTCTGGCTGCCAGTCCCCAACCAAGTGCCTTTCAGGGCACCTACCCTCCCAGGCCCCACTGTGCTTGTGCTTGTGCTTGTGCCTGGGCCTTGACCCTTGCAGCCCTTCACCTACCTTACTCTGCCTGCCCTTTGCCCAGAATGCCCCAGGGACCCCCTCTTCCACAACCCAGCCACAACCCAGTCCTCAGGTATAACACAAACCCCAAACAGCAACAGAAAAAGAAAGACATAACTTATCTTCCCATATAGTACAACTGCAAAGATCCTTCTGTGTATCTGAGCCAGTCTGACCTTGACCCCCTGGCTCAGGCTGACATGGCCCTTTCTCCTTGCTGTTAATAATATTGAGGTGTTGCTAACCCCTAATCAACAGCTGCCTGCAATGTGGAGACTGAGTCTTGCAGCTCCCTTAACTGGGCACCTGGTGGGCAGCATTTGCCACTATCCTACTCTTCTTTCTTTCAGGTAACAGGGGCAGGGGCCCCCAGTTACAGGACATTAAGTCATTGACTTGCTCTGTGCCTTAGCTCCCCCTCCCCCACCTGAAAGATGGGAGTGATGTCCAAGCTGTGGTACTGGTTAGTGGTGAGATTCAATCTGTGTTGGACTCTAAAGCTCCAAGCTGAAGGCCTGGTGTTGCTTCCCTGGTGGTTCACACTGATGAGGGGAGAAGTGAAATCCAGAGACCCGCTGGTTCTATTTTCTGCTCATAGATCCTTGTCATGGGTCCAGAGGCTAAACATAGTTCAGAGCCGTTTAACAGGGGTTGTGTCCTCAGAGCAGCAGCAGGCACTCCTGGTATCCACACAGCCAGTTAGCAGCCTTCTTTCAACTACAGCCTACAACTTCACTTCTGCAGGACCTGGTATAAGCACATGGTACAGCATCTGCTGCTGTCGGGGTGGGGGGAATCATTTTTCCAAGAGCTCGTGCTCAAGCTGCTGTTTTCTAAAGTCCAGTCCATGGGGACCACACAAGCCAGTAGGCTAACTCACCAGCTTGGCACATCAAACACCATTGCCAGCAGCATCAGGATTCCTGGACCCACTCAGGCTGCAGCTTTATTTCTCCACATTAAATCAGGTCAGCATAGAAAGCGGGTCCTTTCCCCCCGTACAGAGTTCCCTGCAGATTTTACCCTTCAGGTCCTGCACCTGACTGCTAAGGGAATCCTCTTCCTCCTGCGGCAGCCCTTCCCCAACAGGCTGCTGTACCCAGTGACTAGCCCCTTGCAGCCCAAAGACAGGCTGTCTTATATGCCAGTAGGCCTGCTTCTGAGTGGCCAAGCTCCTACCTATCACATGACCTCATGCACTTATTTCCTTTTCTGTGATAGGAGGGCTCACATTTGTGCTGGGTACTGAGTTGAGCTCAGCCTACTTAAAGGGCCAACTCACCATGTGGCAAGACTGATCTTTATAAAATTTGAAGTTGTAGAAAAACATTCTGGCTTTATTTTACCCGAGATGGACTTTCCTTCTGAAACCTTCCTTTCATAAGCACCGCTTTATTAAAGCTGGGTTTTTTCTACTCATGTCTTATTCATCAGAGTTTCACTTAAGAAGGACCCAGCAGCACTGTAGAGTTCACAATGAGCTGTTCCCTCAGGGAGATGAGCCTCTCACCTCGTGTGTACCTCTGCCCCTCTAGCTCACATAAGGAATGTCTCATAATGGGTATTCATGCCGAAACCAGCAGAACTACTCACATGTCCACATCCTGCTAATTTCAACTAAAACATCAGATTGGGGTCAGTTTTTGTCGTCAGTACTCATCCCCAATTGTGCACCTGTCTAAGACTGGGCTTTACTGTTGAGCAAGCTATGGGAGAGTGCCCATTCCCACAAGCACTACTGGGAGTAACGAGGCATACTGGCTATAAGTTGACTGAGAGTAGATTCAGGCTACATATCAGGAGGCACTACTTCACAGTCAGGGTGGCTAGGATCTGGAACCAACTTCCAAGGGAAGTGGTGTTCACTTCTACCCTGGGGGTCTTAAAAAGGAGGCTAGATAGACACCTTGCCAGGGTCGTTTGACCCCAGCACTCTTTCCTGCCCAGGGCAGGGGGTCAGACTTGATGATCTGCTCAGGTCCCTTCTGACCCTACCAACTATGAAAGTATGAAACTATTTTAATAGAAGTGCCCTGAAAAAGACAAATTTGGTCTAAGTATCCTATCCAAAATCTGAGCGGTCACAAAGCTTCCTATAGTGCATGGATGACCTCTACCTGACTCAAGAAGTCTATGGGCCAATGAGAGGTAAAGTGCTGCTCGACCTGGTACTGGCTACTGGGGATGACCTAATCGGCGACCTAGTGATTCATGGGAAGCTGGGTGACAGCAACCATGAGCTGATCACCTTCACCATCCGCTGTAAAGCTGGCAAGTCAGTCAGCAACACGGAAGTCCTTGACTTCAGGATAGCTGACTTCAACAAGCTCAGAAGGCTTGTCAGTGAGGCCCTAAGGGACCACAACCCCGGGGGAGGGGGGGGAAGGAGTTCAGGAAGGGTGGTTGCTCCTCAAGGGAGCAATCCTCAATGCACAACCTAAGTCTATTCCATCTCGGAGGAAAGGCAGCAAGAGGGCACAGCAGCCCCTTGGATCTCCAGGGATCTCCAGGGATCTAGCAGACCTCCTGAAAAGACCTCCTGTGACATGACAACT